AAGTGCATGAAGAACAATGGGAATTAGCTGTCGCATTCTGATGAGATCAACCTTCGAATCTCTTGATCCTGCATTTTCATATGAAATGAAGGTCTCCGCAACAATGCTATCTCAAGGGATTTAGCAAGATCCACTTACATTTGCGTATACGTAAAAATCCTGTTTACAAGTGATTTGAACACGTTTTCGCAATTTAATTATAGTCAGGGTGACATAGATTAATGCAATTTGTACGACGTCGTTCATCATAATGAACATGAAAATTTTCCATATCGGATCGTGGACTTGGTAAATTCACAGACGAGTTATTAGGCTCACTGACGACGCCGGCGAAATGTCTGGGAATGTACCGTGTCCACGATCCGACTCTATAAAGTATAATGACGTATATGACAGAGGCATCGGAAACAGTGCGTTCATCTAGATCGCTATGACAAAAGGATTAATTCAGGCATTCTGGCAACACGACTAAATTGTTGTGTCCAAACGTGTTTGTCTCTGTACCATCACATCCTCCGCTTGAATTTCTCTGGGTCTGCTGATGAGGCAATAAGGCGATGTCGAAACAGCACCCCAGCTCAGTGTTAATAACAAACTTACGACCTGTCATCAGTTTAAAGAAGATATTTTTTGCACGAGTATAATTTCGAGACTACCAGTATATCTTATATAAATAAGATATACTTGTTGCCACTTTCTGAGGCAACACTTATTAACTGGTGTATGATGCGAGCAATAATTTTACATGTCCGGTCTAAGCATGAAAATTACTTCTGTATGGTGGAATAAGAGTGAGAAGTAAGGGACAGGAAAGAGATTCGCGGTGGGAATAACAGGAATATTTCGTCTGGATTATAGTTGAGCCCCAAGAAAGTCCCATAATACAAAGCCTTCTTCATCCTCATATCGCAAGATCACATGAGAAGACATAGAAATTCGCGATCAGTGACATTCATAGCATTCTGACTCATCTCTTCTCGACAAACTCATCCGATATCTATTTGATCATAATAGTAGAGCGAGATATTCATGTTGATAAAGTTTCGATACTCCAAGTGCATCTTCCAATAGGAAATATAGTCATTTTCGTAATGAAATATTGATAGTAAAATTTTTCCAATAACCTTCACATAGCCTTGCTTCCCAAAATGTATTCTCCTCCATGCTGGAGTTGACAGCGGTTTTGACCTCATCTGTATCTCATCAGCAGCCCTAGCGGAAATCGAATTCGAATAAAGCAGTCTGCAAGTTCAACATGTTACCAGTGTGTCACACTGCCCCTCAGGCTAGTGGGTAACAAGACAGATGTGACTTTCGAAGTAAGCCAGGCTCAGCTCATATCACATTTTATGATGGAAGTGTCGATGAGAGCTAAGATATACCTTTCATTACAATTGATTGCTTTATTTATATTCGCATTGAGTAGATTATGAAATTAGAAGTGGGTTTGAAATAAGGAATAATAACTGATTTCAAGGAATCTACTCATTCATTTCTCATGAAATTGCTCGAGTAAGAGATTCATAGCCTGATCATTCCAGAGGATTTTTGTAGTTGTCATTTGGTTAAGTATGAGCTTAGTCAGCCCAGATAGTGTAGTGTGATTTAAAGTGCGATAATTGAGTTTTTCATCTATCATCGTAGTAGATATCACGATGTAATTTCACTTCACTTATCCAAGGCGCCATCAGCACTCTCAGCGGGATTGTGGGAATAACTTATCTATCACCTCGAGTACTTAAGCTGATTATGCTCTTATTTAAGAATTCATAGTAGTCTTGAAACCGACACATATTAAGGAGAAGTACAGTCGTCGATTGCGCTGGCAATCGGCAATCGGAAAACAACAACACTGTTCGAATGACGAAGACTGGCTTGCCTTGAATGTCGCATCCGCTCTGTGATACACTCACACCTGGGGCCATGTAGGGGAGTAGAGTGATAGCAGCGCCACAATCCTCACGGCCTGGTTTCAACTTCGACCATGGGTGGAGGTCGGAACTGCAGTCCATGTTGGCTAAGATAGCTCTTGGGGAGGCAAGGTTGGGCGAAATGAAATAGCATCGGGAATCCTACTCATCTTATTTTGGAAGAACTCAACTATCAGTTCTTAAATCACACAAAGTGATATAGAGGGACTATTTTCTTGCACGGGAATAACGGAAACTCTTTAAAAACTACTTATATTGAAAATAACCCATTTACTTAGGAAGTGGCAACACCTCTAGATGCCTGCTATGAGTCGAGTTTCTTAGTGAGTATTCATGTCGGGAAAGCCTATCCGGTTAGTTTTCTTGACTGGCAATCTCGAGGTTGTTACAAGTCAGTTGTAATGAGGTCCGCGACATGACAGACAAGAGGTTCAATTTGTATTGAGTAGGTCAAGAAAGTGCAAGTAGGTCTTGAAAAAAGAGCTGAATTCGCTGAAGGTCGTATAAAGTAATGAAGAACTTCAAGTTGACCT